ATATATCTCTATATATATATATATATATATATATATATATACACACACACACACACACATATGTATGTATGTATATAAAATGTTTTTTAAAAAAAAATTAAAATTTATAATAATAATAAATAATAAAAAATAGGACAAAAATAATTCTAGGCAGCAATATCTGTGAGGAACATGCTAGATTTGAGTCATTATTTAAGTCTTTATTTAATTAAGTCATTACGTAAGTCTTTCCAAAAATATTTATCACAAAAAAAAATAAAAAATCTTGTATGCATTCAAAAAAAAATATTTACACCTAAATTTAGATTTATGTGTTTGACTTGCATATGAAATTTCGATCCATTTGGATTACCCAATTTGAACATAAAACAAGTAATGCTTCTACTCAAAATCATGGCATAGTTTATTTGATCTATTTCATTTTATTTAGGTAATCATATTTTCAAAATGCATTTAATCAAATTGCTTAGAATCAGCATAAATCTGTTCACTGTAAAATCAAATGTATTTAGTTAAAAAGTATGAACATGGTTCAAATACAGCTAGCTGTGGAACAAGTGATACTCAATTGCAATAATCAATGCAATATTGAGAGTTAAACTACTTGGAGTTTCTGATTAGTAATATGTAGGGCTGTGCGATATTGAAGAAAAATGCGATATTAAATAACTCATTAAATAATGCGATACGATAATGCTTAAAGTGCCACGTGCTCAGATGAAACAGTTTTACTCAGCTGTTGCTGAGTCAGTTCTGTGAACTTCTATAACTATCTTGTGTCATATAAACCGTTTTACTCCGCTGTTGCGGAGTCAGTTCTGTGAACTTCTATAACTATCTTGTGTCATATATATATGGTCATTTGTATGTACCAAGAGTTCCTGTAAAACCACAACAAATTCCTTGTGTTTGCGCACACTTAAGTGGTGAATAAAGCTCATTCTGATTCTGATTCTAATAAGAAAGCACCCCTACAACAACTTCTGAAAGTGAACGGTATGTGTTTTACTCGAGCATTACATAAAAATGTCATTTTAACATGAGTTTAGGAACTGAATAATAAAAAGGAAAAATAAAACACTGCTTAGTATTTACTCTTTGAATTCAATATGCACTGATTCTTATTTAAGCTACAAAAGTTATTTAGGTAAGAGCAGTGAGTGATTTTCTCTTTGTCTTTTGTTCATGGCCCCAAATATTGCAAGCCATAGCGATATGCATATTGCGATATGTACATTTGCGATATTTCGATAATTTCTATATATTGCACAGCCCTAGTAATATGTAAACCTGGTTATTATTTATTTATAACACATTAAGTTTATACTGTTACAAACAAAATCTTACCTGTTTAATTTATGTACGACTGACAAATATTCATGACATTAAGTTTATTAGTCTGTTTGGTGTGTTAAAACTGTGTCTAAAAATATTTTTATGCAATTCAAATGCATAAATCTTAAATTTAGGCCTAAATGACTATTTTTTGTTTTTATTATTTGTTTTTTTTTGTGTTGAGTGTGGCTTCAGAATCATGTACACATCTTTTGGACTATTTTATGATTATATTTTGTCTTTCATCATTTCCCATGAAGTCTGCTATATTTCTCTTTTTGTGTTCCACAGAAGAACGTCAGTCATACCAGTCTGGAAGAGTAAATTATGACAGCATTTCCATTTTGGGTGAACTATCTCTTTAAGGCTGGCTAATGTCTGTGGGTGGGGTTTATGATTTGGCGATTTGAACCATCAGATTAAATCAGACCAGAAAAGAGGTCTGGTAGACGTAGCATTCATGCTTCCACTTCTGACACACTGGCATTGTAATGCTTACAGGGTTTAATCGGCTTGTGATGTGTGTTTGAAAAAGTAGTTTGATCTACATTATTCTTGTGTGAGTTAGTGTGTGTTAGAGAACGAAAGAGCCTGATTCTGAATGTAATAGTGCAAATAAGTGGAGGAAAAGGCTCTGCACAGTGTTTCCTGTGAATCAGGAAGCAGGAAGTGTGTGGAAGAGGAAGACTGTGTCACAGTGAACAATGAGAGTAAGAGCTTAAAGGAAAGAGGCCTGCGTCAGTGTGAGAGCAGGGCGGGAGTGAGAGCTGAAGAGAACGAGAGAAGGCAAAATGATCTCTCATGGCTTTACTGTTCAGTGTGATCATGCCACAGATACTGCTCATTTAACATGTTCATTTACTGTTAATTATAAAAGCAACATGTTTTTTTTTCAGAGAATGCCACTTTATTGTCTTCTGCCATTAATTTGATTGATTAATCAGTGTATCACAAACGAAATATAATTATTTATTCCAAAAGAGGAAGAAGGGCAGGGCAAGACATAGAGTAAATATTATTGTTACGGACAATCAACATCTCATTTCCATAATCCTGTGTGAAAATCTATCTATCTATCTATCTATCTATCTATCTATCTATCTATCTATCTATCTATTTATCTATCTGTCTGTGTCTGTCTGTCTATCTATCTATCTGTCTGTCTGTCTGTCTGTCTATCTGTCTGTCGGTCTGTCGGTCTGTCTGTCTGTCTATCTGTCTGTCGGTCTGTCTGTCTATCTATCTATCTGTCTGTCTGTCTGTCTGTCTGTCTGTCTATCTATCTATCTATCTATCTATCTATCTATCTATCTATCATCTATCTATCTATCTGTCTGTCTGTCTGTCTGTAATATCTATTTCAAATAAATGTTGTCTTTTGGACTTTCTGTTCATCAAAGAAACCTCAACAAATGACAATTTACACAAAATGATCAAGCAGCGCGAGTTTCAACATTATTAAGAAGAAATGTTTTTAGCAACAAATCAGCATATTAGAACGATTTCTGAAGACTGGAGTAATGATGCTGAAAATTCAGGATTTCATCACAAGAATAAATTACACTTTTAAATATATTCAAATAGAAAAGTTATTTTAAATTGTAATAATATTTCATAATTTTACAGGTTTACTGTATTGTTTGATCAAATAAATGCAGCCTTGGTGAGCATAGGAGACTTCTTTTAAAAATGTTAAAAAAAAATCTTACTGACCCCAAACTTTTGAACAGCAGTATATCTATCAGTAAATGATGTTGATAGATCTTGAGCTGCATTCATATGTCATTTAGATCTCAGTGGTGAATACTTATTATCTGACTGTATAAACTCTTTAAAATCCTCTAACTTTCAGCAGTTTTGCACAATCCTGTCAAACAGAAAAAAAACAGGAACCTGCAGTCACACGTCACCCGTTGGAAAAGACAACATTGTGTGTGTGTTTCTGTGTGTGTGTGTGTGTGTGTGTGTGTGTGTGTGTGTGAGCACATATGGCTTTACATGTGTGAGTGTGTTTGTGGAAATATGTCAAATTGGCTCATTCATTATAGCAACCAGATTCCTCAGTGCTGAGGGAAGCAGTGGAACAACACACACACACACACACACACACACTCTCTACAATGTGTCAGCTTTGATTTTCAGAGAGAAGTGGAGAACTTTCCTCAATATCAGATGCTGACGGCCACTCAGCATGACTGAGAACGCATTTTGCATTCATATTTAATAATAGCATTACTTAATGTAATAATCTATGCATTTGGCAGACGCTTTTTATACAAAGCAACTTACATTGCATTCA